ATTTGAAGTAGCTTTTGATAGATGATATCTTTGAAAAAATCATGACTATCAGATTTTTTCTTTCATCTTTGAAGTATCTATTGAAATACGTAGCGAGTACGCTGATCCATTGATGTTAAAAAAGCAAATATATTCGAATAACGATATCAGCAATATAACATATTTTAGCAATGTGATTGTTTATGATCTATAATTCCATTAGAAAGCAGATATGCGATTTCTTATATTTACTACGGAAGTTATGATAAGTGCTTCGGCAGTTCCATGTTGATATATAAATTGTTTCATGCTGTTAAATTAGATCAGTTATATGAATAGAAAATGTATAATAGCAACAAACAAGTATCAAGACAACGGTTAGCAAAAGTTCGGAAGCTTGATATACTGAAAAAAAAGTTACATGCGGAACCAAAGACGACCAAAAGTGGTTCAGTACTTGCTACGAAACTTAAAAAAAGTTTTGAGTTTTGCAATCAAATTTAAACCTTTTTGAAGGTTTTGCAGATTTTCTACGAAGTCTTAAAAAAAAATTCCTAGATTCTTTACAAGTCTTTTGAAGACGTGTTAGGTTCATACGAAACCTATCAGTAGGTTTCAATTTCATTGTAAATTAAGGTCCGTGTGGTACCTTTTTTTCAGTGAAAACATAGAATCCATAAAAAAAATGTATATGCATTAAACCATAACGGTTTGGAACTGTTCATTGAAAAAGTTATATCCTGTCAAATAAAAAAAAAGCGTTGGACAATACCAATTGAAGTAAAAAGGTCGAGTTCATTATGAAATATATGCAACTAAATCCTTTCAACTAAAAGTAGCTTTTTCAGTAGATAATCCAATCATGTTTGTTTTAGCATTTCGCTCCCTTGCTATTTCAAAACAGAATATGCGGAAGATATATTGTTCGATGTACAGCTTGATAAGATTAAATCAAAAACAATATTTATTTACTAGTAAATAGTAAACAATTCTTCTACTTTACTTATTTACTTTTTGAAAAAGTAAAATAAATATACCACTCCTAGCCGTATATATGAATTATATTCATCTTAAACTAAAATGAAAACTATATTGCTAAGTTATTTTCGAATTGATAGCATGGAGTTGCATTCTCTTTATATTCGAATTTCAATCAGGCATTTCATGTGATATTTTGTTTTGCAAATGAAATCTATAAATCATCTTAAATTGAATACATACGATGGAACAATTTTAATATAAACTAACTGTCTTCCTAACAAATCATCGAAGGCAACTTTGTTCACTCGAAATCTCATTCCTGGTCGTAATAGAATCTCTTCTTTGTCCTTGATGAAGGTGTTTCGTCGTAAATCTGTAAATTGATCGTTAGTCGAATGACGCTGTAATTCAATTATGTACAAAACATTGCATCCGAAGCTTTCGGCCACTTCTCGGCTGAGTGAAGTCGAAACGAATGAAAGCCATTTAAAATATTTGCTATTGTCTCCAGCTGCCTTTCGATATTCTTCTATAATTTCACGAGAAACATGATCGCCGCGATAGACTATGATAGATTGAGATTCTTTCGGATGAAAAGCTGCTCGAAGACGATAGCGAATCGAAAGATAATCTTTAAGGTGTCGATCGATATTATTGTAAACGAGATAACAGTAAGGTCCAAGAGTGTCCAGTTTACTTGGATCATCATCGCGCAGTGCAGTGTTAACTACCTTATGAATATAGCAAGTTTTTGTATAAAGTTTAACACAGCAATTTTGGAGCTTTTCTTTTCTCTTTTTGTCACTCCTCCCAAAAGTTTCATTTTTGACCGTGTTCAAACTTTGTACAATCTCGCGCACTACATTTTCTGGTTCAGTTCGTCCCTCATGCTTCAATCCTTGTACAAGGGCAGAAAAGATAGAATCGAATGTAACATTCAGCTTTCCCTTGGTGAATTTCAATAACCAATCTGTAATAAATGATGAACCATGGTATTTGTATCTGCAATTGTGTTACGAAATGAAATTAATCCCAAAGGAAAAGATAATCGTTCACGGCGCCGACATTCGTTTCTGGTCTCTATGTCGCTGGAAATAGACAGAGGAAGAACATGATGTCGTCGAATGGGTCGTTACCGGCTTCGATCATCAATATGCTGTTGTATAAAGTTTTTCAAATCGATACGATATATTTCATAAATAAATGTCTCTCCGGCGCCACGTTTGTAGGCTTTTTCGATGGTTGCTGATATATCATCAGGATAAGGTGTCCACTCAGCTATTTGTGTTGTATCCCATGGATCAGCATGCGTCTGATATATCCAAATATACTCTTCCGAAGGCGACTCTTTCTGAATCATTTCTATGGACGATGTCATGTCTGATTAATATTCACACGTATTCAGATAAGTTTAGTAACTTATGAATCAATGATCTTGAATGTAAACAGATACTTTTAATTCTATAGAAAATGATCATTCGTACAAATGGCCACTTCAATGACCAGACAAAAATGTTACGACCGATCTTAAGACGTACTGTTTAGCCATGTACAGAGACTTCTTGATAGGTGATATAAAGTAATTTTTTCCTAATACAAGAATTCCGGAGACTCTGCCAGACTTTCATTATAAATTGTTCAGTTTCGTCTCGGCTAGCTATTCATACAGCTAGACGAACTGATGCGAACAAAACAAGATCGAGTGCCGGTTATTTGCTTTTTAAATTTTTTATGAGACTTACTAAGACTTGACCTCTTTTTGTTCGGATCTGTTTTTTCGGTTGCATGAACAGCTAGCTGGGACAAAACGAAATCATTTATAGTCAAAGTCGCGTAAACTCTCATGGACGCTTGTATTTGAAAAGAATTAGTTCTTATGAACCACTATTGAGCCTCAATAGATGCCTAGTACAGTCACCCACAAAATTATTGATACGAGTGTACACTGTGATGTTTCATCGCTTATAACTAAGAAACAGGAGCTGTTAAAAAGTGTCGATCTGCTCGATTCGAAGGCTACATATAAGTTGTACTGGTCAATCAAAACTCAAGCTTTGCAATGTTTCCAAAGAAGAAATAGATAGTTTTCAAGTGAAAAAGTTTGCATTTCATACACCAAAAGTAATTAATCTGACTAGCATTGTAAATCTCTTAAAGACAAACTCAATACTCAAGCTTTCTCTAATCTATAGGATCAGAAAGATAAAACAAATCCGTTCAATTTGAACTCACTTTGAGATTAAAACCTTCCGATGAGAACCTCAAATCTTCAAAATCCTGGAAGCGCATGATTTCGTGGAAAGTATCCACTAGAGAACGTTCTACTAAATCAATTTTTAACTTCAAATACACCACTCGAAATAGCATTGCAAACTACAGCTAGTAATGTATTTTATGACACTGATTAATATTGAACTTGAACAAGAAAACGAATTTTCCGTTGCTGAGCTCACAGGAAACTTCTTTAAATAGTTATATTTTGTAATGGATAACATTTTGCAAAATAAATTATAGGGTTTGTTAATAGCAGTTTATTGTATACTTTATTTATGTATTTAATATAGTTAATGTCAATATTTCGATATTTCACATATCATATTCAAGACTACTAGACGAAAAAATTTGGAGAATATATACGAAAACTTTTTAAAGAAGAGCAGTTCGTTTGATCTCATTTCAGTGGGAAATTGATCATAAGCTACTATCATATATTTTTATAGTTAACTATATGGTTGTTCTTTAAAAAGTTTGTGTATAGATTCGACAAATTTTTATTTCTAAACTCTAATTCCAACTCTAGTCTTGAAAATGATATGTGAAATATCGAAATGTTGACATTGACTATATTAAATACGATTTAATTTTCCTAAAAAGTTGTAAGAGAGAAAACCAATTACCTAAATTTTTTCGGTTCAAAGTACCTTTGACACACGAACCACATTAAAGAGTAATACAAAAATGTTATCAAGAGATCTTAAGAAATGAAATAAAGGAGAAAAAACGATATTTCGGCTTGTTCAAACGGAACAGCGTTACGTTTTTGATGTGGTTTTTTTCAATTATCTCAGAAACTATAAGAGCCAGAAAACTCACTCAAACGCTATTCAACGCAGTTCATCATACTCTATTTGCGTTATAAAAAGAAATATTTTTTAAGTCGCGAACTTCCGCAAAGCTTTTTTGGTAGCGTAACGCTGTTACTTTAAAGATCCTCGGATCGATTGCTCTAACTACAATTGTAATTTCCTCTGAAAGTTAAGATCCAAGTGAAATGAATCTAGAACAATGTTTGGAGAGCATCAATCGGATTTTCTAACAATAAAGACATTTCTTTTTTTACAAAATAAATGTCAAAGTCGGAGATTAGCGTTAAAAACTGCATCTGATGATATATTCCAGTCTGTCCAGCTTGAAAAATTGTGTTTTTCAAAACTTACTCGGTGAATTGTTGCATTACGGGGACAAGCTGATTTATCCCAATCGTACCGATTATATAATAATTGAAAGTCACTGTTCTAAACTGACTTAGATAGTTCCTTTATCAATTAAATTTCAACAATTATTAATGAAATTGAAAAATAAAAATCATGGACAGAGACAAATTCTAAGAAATTGAATATATTAAGAAATTTAAAAAATCCATCTTCTAATTCAAAGTACTCAATAACTTTAATCTCACCTATAAAGAATTATTCGAAGATAGTTCTTAATAATGATAAAATATTAGCATTGAGAAATGCCCTTGATTTCGTTCATCCCTCATTAAAATTTGCTGATGAAACTTTTGTAGCTAACGTTGAGACTTTGGGTGTGGGTCTTCTCATCATACCGACACCCACCAGGAATGGTTGAATACTTTTCACTCATGAACTTCATCCGTACGTGAGAGTACGTAAGAGAGTGTAACATCTCACAGAATGATACAGACAGCATTAGGGTTTTTAGCAGCCAAGACACACAAACCAAAGCGTTTAGCTGCTCGTAAACGCAAACAAATCACCCAACTTTTGGGACCATTG